CCAATCACTGGGGCATTTTTGGCCAAAATCAATACGCATTAGTGTCACGGGGGGAGTTCCCCTGACGGTTGAAGAGAGTGCAGCTGCCCATCTACGCCAGAAAACCACCGACATCACCACACAGGCTCACAATAAATGTAGTAAAACAAAACAACAGACGGGCAAACACACCACAGCATCGTGCCCGTTGGTCTGTCGGACGCCAGCGTGCTGTTTCTTTGCTCTTTGTACAGTCCAACATTCCTCGTTTTTATCTCTTGCTCTCTCGTACAGACATGCTTTCTCCTCATAAACATATGAAGGTACAGAGCAAAGGCTTTGATAACACCGACAGCACAAATAAATACGACGATTTACACACCATCAGATTGCGTACTAATTGGCATTAACACATGCTCAACACACAACACACCCAGATCGAATCACAAGACTTACAGTCTGAAATGTTTCACCCAGCAGGATTGTGTGTCTGGCTTCGGCTCTCTCCTAGTACTATTACAGCTCTTGCCAACCAGGCAGGATTTACGAGACTCTGGCATCACAGCAGGATCTCCCTGCCTACTAACCACTTTAACAGTCTACTTTGATTTTCTCCAGAAGATCAAAAATGCGAACAATGTAAAAGAAATTGCGCTATGCTTTTACTTTCCAGAAAACATTCTGTTCCAGTGTAACCATGTAATTTCGTGGCTGTTTAACCCTCTGAACCCTGACTGGTTCCTGGGCATTTATTTTCTGTTGCTCCTGTCACATTTTTATTCACTGTGGGCTCATTTTCACAGCAATATAAAGTGTTGGCTCGCTATGGAAACAGCGAAAGTCAGAAGATCTTTGCCGCAGTATATGACAAAGTATTAACTCCATTCATCATAAAAAATGAGAAAAGAAAAGTGGAACTCCTTCAGTTTTTTTATTCAACAAAAATTGGAGAAAAAAAAATTGAATCAAGATGAGCAATATTTTTCCAAGTGCCCACAGAAGTAACCAATACTGGAAAAATGCTGGCCTTAAATAATAAAATGATATTTCACTACTTGCATTTTTAATTTGTTTCCACACTTATTGAGCTAAAACACTCAAGGCTTCACAGTTTCGCAAAGGAACATCCAATTTTGTGTATTTACTAAATCTGGTGCAAACTATTTAACTTTTGGCTTTTTTTTTTTTAAAGAGATACGTAGAGTCAGTTGATTTTTGAATAAACGTGATTGATGATGAGTTCAAGGGTAATTGGAAAGTTGAAATTTTGGAGATCAAAATTGACATCCCGACTCCAGCACAGGGAACGAACAGTTGTTTATTCGGGTCCAACCCTATGGGCAATGTTTATTTCCACGCAGTAGCAGCTACATTAACACTTGATTTGATGTAACACACAATGACTAGACATTGCTAAAGGTTTCTGTTGTTTTGAAAGCTCATTGCATCAAAATGTCAGCTCTGCAGCAACGTGTCGCTGCTCTGTTGCTTATCTGCAGCCGTATACTATAACAAATCACAGCAGAACAACAGGTTTATTTATGTGTATGCCACTCACAAACACTCATGCATCTTTTACAGACATGTATGAGTAAACAATACAAAATCAGTGTTTTGTGTTGACAGTATTTTGCATTGCCGTTAAGAATTTATCAATACCAGTGCTGCTAACCGGTATTAACACTTATCAATATTCTTACTTGTTTAATGGGATTAAAATTTATAACTACAATGTCTGATGCGTCCTTCATTCATTATTTGTTTATAAAAACTTCAAAGTGATCTCCCTGTTAATTGCCGTTCACTGGGAGCGAGAGAGGGAGATAAAAGATGATTTATAGTTGTTGATTTATGTTGTGCACAAGATCCACTAATGACTGACTGACTGCTTTACATGCAGCTCGTGCACTGAAGGCATCATCCAGGGAGAGTGAGGAGTAGCGAGCCAATGTAAAGCTAGTTCAGATGTTAAATGCAAATAAAGTAGCAATGTAAGAAAACGTCATAAATTTCCGAGCAGGGCTTTGCTGACAGCAGGAAGACAATAAAACCACGACAGCAAACCGAAGTAGAGTAGAGCTGAAACTTAATCCGGTGTTGTAACTTCACTTTAATCCTCTGAAGCCCAAAACCAACCAGCAGGTTTCAAAGGAACGTTATCTTCAACAAAATAAATAAATAAATCACCAGAATTACGCCATTTATCAGAGCAAGAATCGCCAGACTTTCAAGTTTCAAACGGTTTTTGAAGTCGTCGTGTTTGATGTTCGCAGCTCCAATTGGGGAAATTAAATAAATGTAAGATTAAAATCCACAATATTTCATCGCTTCCTCGTTGTATTCTACATGTCTCATTGAAAAAATTCACCACAAACAAAACAGCTTGCCTTAAACAACTGTGTAAAAATTCTAAGATTTTATTTTTTTTTGGTGCAAGCTGTGTTTACCATACTTGATGAATAAAATAAAGGCAGCACAGCTGATATACAGAGGAGCAAGTTACTGAGTTAATGTGCAAGAACACTCAGTTTGTAGAAGATATAAAAACGTAAATAGCTAAATATCTACAGTGTGTAAAGCAACCATTTAAAAAACAATGATTTATGGCATAACGGTGTCAGAGTTCTCTCTCCTTCTAGTCATGGTTGTGCTGTTTCCACAGAGGTGCAGGACTTTATATTGCGGTGAAAAATGAGTCCACAGTGAGTAAAAGTGTGACACACGCCCAGACACACCAAAACACCACAAACATGCGGCATATTGTGCCTTTTATGTTGCCTGCTTTTACAGCTTTACACACGACTGTTCGCTGCCAGTATCAGTTGCAGAATGATTCTCCGTCCAGGTAAACTGTGTCACAAGATTGCATTTTAAATGAAGCACCGATGCGCTACGGAGATGCTCTGGCCTATGAATCACATCCTCCACACACTAAGGAACCGCCCATAAGAAGCACAGTGGAACCGTCCGCACTGGTCAACGCCGTATCTATCACTCTATCGGTTGGGGACGTCTGACAGGGTTGTGATCTGAGAGCAGGAGGTTTGCGAGGCAGTCTGAGTGAAAGAGATGCACTGAAACTAAAGCACAGGACATTTGTGCAGCAACAGTATATCTGAGTGCACGCATACAGTTTTTAGCAGAGCAGAGAGCTATCTGAGAGAGAGTAGAGGGAGAGCACCACCAAATCTCAATGTAAAATGAAGAAATAGTGCTCTCAAACAGAAACACTACACTCACCACACAGTAGAGTGAGCAAAGTAGGTGGTACAATGTCGTGATAATAGTCAGAATCCACTTTGTTGTATGTTCAATAAAAAAAGTATTGTAATTTCCGGACTATAAGCTGCTACTTTTTTCACGCGCTTTGAACACTGCGGCTTAAACAATGATGCGGCTAATTTATGGATTTTACGAATTTGCCTCGAGACGAAAGTGACATTGAGAGCGACAATGAAAGACAGACTGAGGACGTGTGTGACGAAGGCTGTTCAATTCCGACGCTGAAGAAGACGATTTTAGTGGTTTTAGTGCGCAGGAGGAAGATGAAGATAGCGATCAATGACTTTTCTTTACGGTATTTTTTATTTTTTTAACCAGCCGTGTTACAGGCACTGCTCGGAAAAACAGTACATATTCGTGTATGTTACCGATACGTATTTAATTAAAAGTTCAAAAACCTTTCTGTGTAAATATCTCATGTTACAACGTGGACACCTGCAGCTTATAGACAAGTGCGGCCTGTATATGTACAAAACTTGTTTTCTTTCTAAAGTTAGTGGGTGTGGCTTATATTCAGGTGCGCTCAATAGTCTGAAAATTACGGTAATATTCTGTGTTGTTGAGGTATTTTTTTCTTTAGCATTCATTACAACATACACTGCTCGAAAAACTTAAGGGAACACTTCATTCTTACGTCACTTTGTTCTCAGTAAGTTACACAGTCTATATCAATGATTGGACAGTGGAAAACAAAATGATTAAGTAACTGATGGGGGGGATTCACAATCACTTAGGCTTCCTAACAAGACAGATTGATGTCCCAGAAGTTCAGCTGAATTGATGTCACACTGTGCTGATTAAGTGTTCCCGTTTTTTTAGGCAGTATATATCTTAAGAGCTCTTGAAGGTTCAAAACACAAACAAAATCTGACTAAAACTGTTTATTTTAGGCGGATTTTCAAATGTGACATGTAGTATAAAGGAGATTTTGATTAAATTTCATGATTTCCATTTTCAGAAGACATGAATAGTTGAAGGACCAGTGGAAAACCAGTTGGTCTAATTTTGCAGATTTAAAAAAAAAACAACAAAAATAGCAAGTGCAAGCATCACGAAATTTGAATGTAAAATTAGGGAAAAATGCTCTGAATGTGCTTTAATAAAGAAAATGTGCTGCAGGGTAGTGATCACAAGCCAATCAAGCACCTAAAATCACACAATAAGGCAAACAGAATCTGGTGTAAACAGTTAATTTTTGCCAAATTTTTAAATGTGGCATGCCAGTAGGATGATTTTGATGAAATATCACAATTTTAATTTTCCTGACAGAACATGTATAATTAGTACAAGGACAGTTAGAAGGTTGTAAACCAGGAAATTCTGTTTTTACAGTTTCTGGCTCTGATAAATGGTGTACTTGTGGAGATTTAAAGAAAAATAACACGTCTTCCCTGTGTAATGCTCTCAAACTGAAAGACAATTCTCTTGAATGAAGAAAAGGAAAATAAGTACAGTGCAGTGATTTAGTAGTGATAATAGTCACAATATGAGTGTGTTCTGTAAGGAATTTGCTGCGTTAAAGCATTTGATCATTTATTACAACATATCTGGTCCTCCAGAGCCCATCAAGTTTCCAAAGCACCCAATAACAAACAAACAAATCACCCTAAACACGAAAGTGCTAAGCTTTTCCTCCATCACTGCTGAAAAATATCCCCAAGGAGACAACTTCAAGTATAAATGATCCATCTGAGCATGTTGCTTCCCTTCAGGTAGCCACATCTTTCCCATATTCATACCTTTTTCGAGTGACTTGAGGGGTCTCTGGTCAGATGTGCAGGGCGCTCCACCAGCAGAGGAGGCGGAGCTTCAGAGATCCCACTTCTTCTTTTGCTCGTCACTCAAACATGCTCCTGAAAGAGAATAAACATACGTTAGCCGAGCATGCACGCTTATGTCTATAACGTTCACTTTTAGTACATGGGGACAGTTTGTTTTTTTCCTTCAGATAGCCTGAAAAGAGCGCAATAGTGTTCTGGTAGCACCTCAGGGCACAAAACCGCAACGCAACCACACGAAGACGCGAGAGAAGCTGCCACCGAACGGCCGCGAACACACATCCTCCTTGTGCAGACACAATAATCGCACTCATCTCGCTCACATCGCCACCGAGTCGGACTCACAGTGTCACCAGGCACGCTTCCAGCTCCTCGTATTAGTGGAAAGGCATCATCATTGAGTCAAACAAGTCTTTGGAAAGTTGTCAGTCACTCACAAACCGTCAGCCAAGCACTGTAGCTCGCTGTATTGTGTTATAAATCAATCATCCCCCTCCTCTCATTCAACGCGCCTCCAAAAAGGTCAAACGCTACCAAAGACAGCTCTGGAGCGGGATGAAAAGAAAGCAGGGCCGAAGACAGAGGGATGAAGGGGTACAGCGAAATAGGGATGGACAACTGACGGATTCTCAGAACTGCTCATTGCACTGGATTAATCTGCTATTTTTGAAAAATCCACAGAGAATAAAGATGAGAGAGAGAGAGAGAGAGAGAATATGAGTCAGTGTGGGCATATGTGCATGTGTGTCTGCGCGTCCTTCAATCTGGCCCCTTGGCCTACTTTAAAGCCAAGTCATCATTCTGGTCCGCGGGGACTTCATTTTGCAGCCGGTGTGTATGCGTGTGCATTAAGAGTTTGTATTACAAGAAGGGCCATACCATAAATCTCTCCCTGCCAGCCCACACACTCCTGCATTAGTGACAGTGAGGAGGCAGTGCTGCAGTGCAGGTATGCCTCGGTAACGTGAATGCTTCTGGCCACCAAAGATTTCTGTCTCCTCCTAGAAGAGTCGTCATTCCTCATCTCCTCCCGTCCGTCTTTACCCGCGAGTCGTGAGCCGTCTTCCTTTCTTTCTACCTTTCTTTACTCTCCTTTTATCTTACAGACACCTCCACAAAGTTTGACTGGAATGTAATCCGTCTGCAAATTGGGAGCAGGACAAGCAAGAGCTTCTATAAATACTCATCAGATTCCCCTGACAATCACAAAATGAACCTACAGACCCACACACACAACACTGCAGTGCAAATAGCAACCCATCTGTCTTTGTCTGCAGCGCAAAACCTCTTCCTCTCCGCGCTCTGCTTTCTAGCTGTCTCATGCCGTAGTCATAGAATGAGTGCTGTATGTTCGGGAGGAAAGAAGAGACCGAGAGGGAAACCACAACGAGCGAGAGAGGCGGACAGAGATGTAGACAATGAGACAGCAGCAGCATGCTTCATCAATACTCCACTTAATTACTGTCATGCTAAGAGGGCTGCCACTAATGACAGGTTTTCTATCGATTAATCGATCGACTAGTTTAACGATTAGGCCATTAATATACATGATTAATCTACATCCATAAAACAAAATGATTAAATTGAAACAGATTAGAAGTGCATGTCATTGTATAATGTAGGCAACACAGTACAATAAAGTGCAAAACTGTAGAGTTAAACTGGAAACTCTAAGGGATTTAGTAGAAACTCAAAGTGACAAAGTTTGGTGTGTATATTAAACAAAGGATATTTTACAAGTGCAGCACAGCAAAAGCTATAATTGTTGTCTGACTTTGGTGGCACCTTTGAATTCATCACAGAATTCACAGCACAGCCGTTTTTTTTTTTTTAAACTCATTATGAGTTTGTCGCCGACATTATGGTTCTAAAAATCAGGATTTTAGTGATGCAGAGCAGCAGCCTGACTGTGACTACTGATAAGTATGTAGTCGTAATGATCTGTGTTTCAGTTTCAGCCTCATACTTGTTCTGTTGTCTGACAATGGAAGCAAAAAACAGCTTTATTGGGAACTTGGCTGTATTCAAACGCAGTATATGTGAGCACAGAGAGCAGGAGAGAAGCTAACGGCTAACATTTTCTTCTGCATTACGCCACTGCAATTCTGAACAGCAAACAAACCAACTTCCTGTTTGTGGTAACGTGGAATACTCCCATTGTTTCAAAGCCTTGCTTCTTTGAAAACACCAAACTGAGTCAAACTCTGCTGCAGCTGACCAAAGACTGGAGCCAAAGCTGGCTGAGGTCATAATGCAGCAATTACGTAGAAGAAAAACATTTGTCAGTTTAAAACCTTGTCATCAATAGTGTCATCGATTATGCCAACTAATCACGCCAGGCCTGCACACTTAGAATCCAAATTTCGATTTGAAAATTTTGACGAGACAGTGACTTCAGGTCTGAGGTTTTCCAGGCGTCTGTCCAGCAGTGCAGCAAAGGTGGGAGGTTTTCCAACATATGCTACTACCTCAGCTTTTCCTACACCTGGGCATTAACTGTGCTCTTGTAAAGTGTAATCCCTGCCCCTGGACCTCTAAAGCCACTAAAAGGTGGACGTTACAGAGGCTGCTGCTGTAAGACGGACCAGGTTTTGCAAATATGCTGACTTTCCAACGCGATGAAGCGTGCACCTTGTTCACATCGAGATGTGATGTCGCAGTGGTCGCAGATGGACACTTGGTCAGATGCAGAGCAAGTGAGCGTAGACGGAGCTGTCCAAACAGTGAGCGGTGCCAGTGAAACATGACGTTATGTAGGCCAGCGCTGCACTGACACAAGCGTCCAGGGAGACACAAATCTGCACTCTGCTGCAGGTTAGCAGGACTGGTGTTGCTCTGAACATCCACTTTCAAACATCTATTATAAAAGTAACTTTCAAACTTTGATTAGAAAAACACAGGAGTCTGTCCTGTGCCAAGATGATGAGCAGCCTCTGTGTGACTTTTATTAATCTTGTTCGATGTGCTAGCTCACACTGCACATTTTAATCAGGCTTTCAGCGCAGCCAGGAGCAGCGACCTCTCTGCTCGCTCAGTATGGGTCAAACCGAACATAGATAAGCACAAAACCCTCAATGCAATTACGGCAAAGTTTAGTCAAACTGCCTGCTCTAATGATGAATGCAATTATGAATATGGTGCTCGTTTGTTAACCCTCTTAACCCCAAAACCTGTCAGCCAATTTTAGACCCCATAAAAAGAAAACGTGAAACAGGAAGAATCACTGGATTTTCAACTTTCTGATCATCTAATCAAATACTTTTTATTGATCTGAAGTGCAGAGTAGAGTTTAAAAGTTTGCAGAGGCTGTTAAAATGTAAATAGTTAAATATTTATAGTACGTACAGCTGGCATTTTTGGGGAGTATCGGTAACACGGCTGGACAACATAACTGTGTTATACTGCACAACAGACATTTATGAGTTCTCTCTGCTTCTAGCCACGGTCGTGCTGTTTCCATACAAGTGCAGGATTTTGCAGTGAAAAATGAGCCCACATGTGACCGGAGCAAAAACCTGTTTTTTAATGGAGCATTACTGACATTGCACTTTTTAAACAAAATGCTAGCATTATGGTGCTCTAATTATATACAGTAAGAATCATGCACACTGAAATAAATTAGCAGATATTTTATGCATTTCTTGTTTTTCTTTCCTGCACCGTAAACATACTGAAGTGTGACCCCAAAACCATAAATTGTGTGTATCCTGGTAGCAACACTTAAGCAGATCATGCATCAGCCAGATGTGACTGATCCACTTTGGCTGCAGTGGGCTCACATTAATACCTTAAATCCTCAGATTAGAATATGGCAAAGAAATGATCTTGTGCTTAGGAAGAATAGCTAAAATATCTCATAACTTGTCAGGTTTCGAGCTCAGTATAATTAAAGCGTGAGTAAAAAATGAAAGTGTACAATTAGTTTGAAATGCTAGGAGTGACACAGCTAACTCGGAAGAACGGAACAGTGACTCAGTGTTATTTTTAAATCTGTGAAAATCACAAATCACTGGAGCCAATGTGGTATTTTGATTTGGAACATACAATTCAGAATTATTACAGGGAGGGAAAAAAAAAAACATTCCTGAATCTCTGCTACAGTTTTCTTTGTTATCCTTTTCTTTTGAATGCCTCCTCAATTCCCTTGATTCCAGCTATGACCAGCTCTGAACCAATGCAGAGAATGCATCACAGCAGCCAAAAGGTTGGGTTCTCACCATCCCACCCTACTCTTGCCTCTATCTCTGTCCCTACAGAAAACTCCCCATTATTAATCCATTCAGACTTAGAGTCTCTTCTCCCACGTAGGCCTCTTTCCATTTAGCCTGGATCTACGTAATTCCTGTCGTAAATCCAAAACACCAGTGACGGAGGAAGACCAACAAACACTGAGGAACTCATGGGTGGACGAGTGAAGTAACTTCTGCGTAACTTCAAGAGATCTGGCGGAAACAGAACATCATGAGGTTTACGCATGTTGACACACATAGCACCTTGCAAAATAAGGTTGACACGACAAAGCATGCGGCCTCCGAGGCTTCAAAGCCGGGCTGAGGCCAAGAAAGGATGAGAGGCTCTGAAACAACCTCCGTTACGGACAATTTAGAGGTTAGTGTGGATAGAGCTAAAACTAACAGTCAAATCGGTCTTTCACAATTCCCTAAGCTCAGTGTGAACACACTGTGACCAACCAGCCATGTCCGAGCATTAAACCTAACTGTTCCGCTGTCTCCCTGAAGACACCCAGAGAAAGGGCTCAGAGACGAGGGGAGACACTGGATGAGACGAGCAGAAAGGTCTCTTCTCTTAAGGCTGCGCGATAGCTTGCTACCAGCATGGAGTGTGTGTAAGCATGTGGGTGTGTGTTTGGTTCCCAGCCAGGGTTTCTGTATGTGTTACGTGACTCCGTTTGTAGCGTATGTTGCAACTGAGGGAGTCCAAAGATGACATCCTTGGCATTAACAACAACAAACAGTGCTGTACTAAACCTGGGCCAACTGCACCTCCCCTCCACCTCCTGCCAGCCGTCCCTTGAACCTCCTGCTCTGTCAAACCCCTCATGTCTCCAGTTGTGT